TCAAGCAATTTCTGCTGTTCCGTAAATTCGTACTGCAAAGGAACAGTCTGTGAGCGATACACATCTGAAGTAAGTGATCTCCGTTGTCCATGCATCTCGTGTCCAAACCGAGCCGACCACCTGATCGGGCTTCAGCAGCGCTTAGTTCATCTACCTGGGTGTTCATGTCACCAACAACCACAGCAATATCCGAGCTTTTAGTCCGGTGTACAAGGGCACCTAGAGCGCTGTCGTTGGCAGATTCAGGACTACAGTCAGTTTGGGGCGTAAGCAAACAGCGCCCTTATATGTAAGCCGACTGTCTGATTCTCATCCAGAATAGACTGTCTAGTTTCCATACCTAGTTTCCTACCTCACTCGAACTCGTGTTGTTTTGGTATTGAAATTTGGTCAAAGCAATCGAGATTAAATTCTTTCTATTATAAAATAAACTCTTTCTTTTCTGATTAACAAATAATGTGGACCAGCGAAGTTCACCATCTTGTTTGGTCTTCCTATATTTTTAGTGTACTGTATTTCGTAGATAATGCCGTGTGCGACTCTAATCACTATTCATCCCGAAGGTTCGCTGTAGCCCGCCAGTAGGAAAAGTCCCCTTTAATTGTTCGCTTACAAATCAGAGTGTTCGGTGTTCAGAAAGCGGCGAGCGGGTTTTACTCAGCATTTTTTGTTGAGATAGTGTTCATGTGGACGTGCGCAACCACAAAATCTACCCACTGGCCCGCCGAAATGTGATTTTTCCAAATCAGCGGCCGATACTTCAGCCGCGACTCAGTTGTTGGTCAAATAAGTTCATTTCAGACGTGGCTCAAACACGGATACATTCTTCTTGTTCATCACAGAACTCAAATGAAGACAACCTTTTAATATCATCATAGAATCCGCCGGCTATTCATGGTTAATAATACCACTGATCTGTGTTCACAATGGACTAAAGCTGGGCTTTGGTTTGTTCTTGTCCTCTGTGAGATGCTTTTGAAGCGTAGATGTTCTAACGTCATCCCGTGCACTATATTTTAAACGTAGTGATTGGTGGTATAAAATTTATTCATGCATTAACAGATAACTGCAAAAGTATCCTGGCTATTTAAGTGCCTGGATTACGATTTCACGGTTATTAAACGACTAGGTACATGATCTTCGCCGTTGGGACGTCACATGAGTGGTGAATTAATATGCTAAAAGGCTCAACAAGAACCCCACGTTTCAAAAGTGTTCCACTGTGTGGCATCGTACTACGAAGGGCATTGATAGCAAAAGCGAGACTTGTCACATTGATTGTTATTTTGACGATTGAGAGAAAGTCATAGCAAGTTGATTCATTCCAGTCTCAGTGCGGCAAATTAAGTTATCAATAAGGGACGTTTGAAACTAGATTGATTATTTGCTCGATCGCCAAACGAATCCCAGTGGAGTTACGGCACACATGTGGCTGAATGTTGACGTTCCTGCTAGACGTTGAAATAGAATAACCTTTCTGCTAAGTAAAATTGGGTTCGACTAAAGAATTCTCGGAGATGGTGAATTTCAAGAAAACAATTCGGGTTAAACGGTGTCCCTCGGTTGATATCTTACAGAGTACACAGTCATTGAAGGGCCAGTCATTTTAACGGCACACGCACAGATATGAATAAAGCCGATGAGAACACTGCATGTATCACGAAATTCGTTACAAGTTGGTGTGGACAAGATGGTTCCCTTAACTATACTGAATAAAAAGTCCTCTTGCTTCAAAGAAATTGAAGTGATGAAATCACAAATATATCACCAAAAGTGAGAATAACTTTGTAACTGACAAGCATACTCTGAATTCTACTTTGTACGGTCCTTGTTAGAGCTTTTAAGTAAATTTGTACAAATAAAAAATGTGCGAATGGTGAGTTCAAAACGGTAGAAGGGACATCCTTCAGGTTTAAAGGCTCTAAAATCTGGGATTGAAGACAGCGATGTTAATTTCATTGAAATGCCCACAACAATGGTTGAACTGACAGATTACATATACAACTTTTATGTCGAAATTCCTTTTACTCTATTAAGTCGCTGACGCATAAAAGTAACGCGTAGGAACAGTGTTACACTTACGTTGATTGATTGGTTCTGCAGTTCACTTGATCAGGTGACCACTGTCAGGGTACCCAAATGGTTTGTTTTCAACCGTCTTTGTGCGCGCAGTCTGGACTGGCTTGATTTTACCGACAGTGCTTCCTTAATTGCTAAAGACATGGGGCTCATGTTTTGCAATGGGATACGGAACGATTTGACCAGGTCAACTCGGTAACAACCTTACTTCAGATGAAGCAAGACTTTGACATGACCATTTACCCCTTCGGTTTTCTTGACAGCGTCCAGATTACACATTTTAGAATGTCTTTTACCAAGTTTTACGCATCTGGTCCGTCTCTCCTTCAGCTGTAAATGGCGGAATACTACGTAGACTGTATGAGAAGTAGATAAACAAAATACCCAACACACATGTTTGTGCTGCGCATCGACTCTGGTGGTCGATAGGTGACAAAAATTGTAAGGAAGTCTTGAATCTTCATCTAAGGAAAAACTGCATCCTATGGTCTAGCTTGATAACCCAGTGTCCTAGATACACCGGCTCTACTATTGAGTGAAGTAAAGCGCTCTGAATGACCGTTCTTCACGAGGTTTTTTCATCTCTCCTCTTCCGCTGAAAGGTTTGAGATGCGTAGACACCAATCTCCACAGAACAGTCTTTACCAGCTCCAGTTGTGGGAAGTAACTAGAGGATTACGGACACTGACAGCCTCGCTTGTTCTTTTGTTAGATATGACGTTGCAAGTAACGGCCTGTAAGTTTAAAGATAATTATATCTGATAAATGCAGAATACCGTTTGATTCACACCATGAGGTAACACGAAGGTTACGATGGGTGGAACTTAATGTGTATACGAGAGACTGAAAATGCTCCATATCAGTAATAATGGAAATTTCATCAACAAATTGTGTATTCAAAAAATACCTTGAAATTTTCTTATCAGTTGTTTGTTATTTCATCCCATAAAGGACTGGGGGGAGTAAAACTTAATGTCTTGTATCAGTTCTGATAAGGTGGATAAAAGGAACACGATGTCTCTTATATCCAATCAGCTAAGGGCGCAAAAGAATTCGTTTGAAATTTGTTTGAAACAATAAAAGAGAGGGCGAAATGCTGTTTGAGTAAAATCGGCGTTGCAAATTACTCACTAGTTAAATCATTTGGTTTTAACAGGAGACACAACCTGATACTACCAGAATCTCTCGGTTGTGAAGATCGAAGAATTTTCAACAGTCTCGTGAGTCGTGATCGATCAAGAAAACACCAGAGTTGGACAAAAGTTGAAACACTGCAATTTGCTTTCGCTTAAGTGACTGAGCTTGCAAAACACTGACTATGCATCAGACAAAGGCTTCAGGGACATCGGTGTACTTGAGAAGCGACGGTCCATAGTGAAGGTCAACTGTACTTATCAGCCGTCCGTAAGTTGTCGTTCAGATGACGTTATATGCTTTGTTTTCAAAGTGATCTTCCCCAAAATGATTGATGCAGTCCGGGTGCTTTGACACGATGCATTTTGCATGCTGAACTTTTAAAACTAGTGCACAAATGACAATGAATTCCGAAGCAAGACATTCAGAAGCAATTTAACGGGTTAAATAGTTTGGATTTTTTCGCTTGTAACTGTAATTTTTGCACTCCCATCATCGTTACATTAGTAGTAAAAATGTTAATTTTTGATAATACTCAAATTAGCCAACCTATTCGATGTGTTAGCTACTAAAGAATCGCATATAATCCAACAGTTCAAAACATTTGGCGGTCACGATTACTATCATATGTCGGTTTCCTCTTCTTTCGTCCTCCACTAGAGATATAAATAAATCTTACCTCCGTTTTTACCCAGACGGTTAGGCATGCCCACGTACATTTATTGATCTAGTATTGAATTAGACCCTGCGTTTTAATTCCCCATTTCCCTAATATATCGATTTGCGACATATCGTTCGCGGAGAAAGGACCTGTATCGGACCCCAAAAATCCGGATTCCAGAACAAAACTAATAAGTATGCCGACAAGGAAGGCGTTATGGAACGTGGTTCTTATCTTTCCACGGGTTTAGTCCTGAAACGACGCACATGGGGTCACCAATAAGGGATAGCTTGTGGCAACCACTATAGTGTCGACCGCAGGAGATCAAACCCATCTCTTCCAACTAATACAAACTGACTTCTTTTATTCAACAGCTCGGTTGACACTGATCCAGTTCTGTCACAAGTCACAGGCAGTCGACATAGAATGCCTTTTTTGTCTTATTTAATACTCCAGAATGCTTTCAAAGCTCTGTATTTTATCTGATTAATACCATCATCATCATCATCATCATCATCATCCGAATCATCTTCATCATCATCATCAACCTCATCCTCCTCCTCATCATCATCATCAACACCATCAACAAGGTCAGCAGCAGCAGCAGTGTTGTCACTGTAGTTTCACTGCCGTACAACCGCAAGGTACAACCAAAAGTTAGGTCCAGTTTATATATATACATATTTATATATATAATTATATTAGAAGCCCAGAAACTGACAGGACATCGGTTAGCCGCCATTTCTGGCAACGTCTCCAGCCAAGCACAGGCGAGGTCACGGTGACCCCGTCCTGGAGGACATACAGCGCCAACAACACCCTGAACTCTTCGTTACTTCTTCCACACCCTTCTGCCAAGTCATGTGCTGTCCACTTTGTGGTTTGCGCCATCTTGAAGGAGGCACAAAGAGCAAAACTCGTCTCGGTAGACGGTGCACATGACCAAGCCATCGTATTCACTGGTGCTGGATGTTTTCCCTGATTGAAGTACCTGCAGCACAAACAAATACCCGTTTTCTAATCACCTCGTTACTGACACGCTAACGCCATCCAAAACCAGCCACACTTCTGAGGCATCGGTGGTCGAAAACCTGAAGACGCCTTACATCACCTGTCCGCAGAGGCCATGTCTCGCATCCATACAACAACACAGCCCTTAAAGTAGCTTGGTACACACGACCCTTAAGATCTAGTGAGATGCCTTTTTGACACCACAAGTAACGCAAATTAGCGAACGTGATTCGAAACCTTGAGATTCTCACACTGACTTCATCAGACACATTCCCATCAGAGCTAATACAACTACCGAGTTATGTAAAGTTTTCCACAATCTCCAGTGATTCTCCTTGAATTGTGAAGGATACGTTCGGAGATTGCATGTTCTAAAGCATGACTGCACTTTGAAGGTGCAACCATAGGGGTAGAACTATATATATGGAATCGGCGAGCTAAACCACCTCCTCAGGTGCCGACCGGGTAGCCTGGACATCAGTCTGGGTCAGCTAACAGTTCAGCAACTCCAGACGGGACTAATCACCCTGTTTGGTTTGAATGTGCTGATGACTTCTGACACTGTATACTACGAATCATCTGGCGCCTCCGCACCAGTTCCAACCAGTACACAGGAGAGACTCGTTGCGTTCACGTGTGAGGAATGTGGCAAATGCTGTGAATCGAAAGCTGGCTTGATAGCTCACCATCGAGTCCACGATAATGAAAGGGTTGGTACGAACATGGTTGCCCAATTGGCATGCGCTGATTTTTCCCTGCCTTTTTTCGACGAAGTTTGGCTTAAATCAACATCCCCGGCACATACACTCCACCCAGCTTAATGCAGATAAGCTTGGATGAGTGAAGTATTCCGGCATCCGCTGGTTCCAACAAGAGTCACAATCACTCTTACGACTGGCTAACAAGTTATATCCATCTTGTGGCACGCAAGCCGAGGCGTTCACGAGATTGGAGCAGTATTTTCCTGGTCGATCGGCTATCAGCATCAAAACCAGGTTGCGGGTGCTTAACTGGCAAGCACAACTGCACAAATCATCATCTGGTCGACCTGACCAAACTATCGGTCAACTGACGGCCTACTTCTTAGAAGCCGATGACTACAGCGCCTGGTTTAAACAAACCGTGGATTGCGCCGTGCCACTCTTGGAATCCCATGCTGACAGTTCGCTTGCTAGTTTTGACCTTCTGGCATTTGCCCGAGGGTTGCAGTCTGGCATCATGACACCGGAGCAAGTCCTGTGTCGCTTCTGGACCTCCGCACCTCCAGGATATTTTCACACACCTGGAAAACTGTATCCCGACGCCGCCGTCAGTTAGCTCATCGGATCCCGGTCAAACGAAAGCAGTCCGCTGTTCTAGTGTATAGCTGTGAGACTTTGCCTATTCGAGCAGCGGAACTGAAACGTCTTCAGGTGTTCGACAATCGTTGTCTCAGAACCATAGCTCGTGTGATTTGGTGTCGGCAAAGCCGTAACGAGGCAGTTAGAAAGTGAGTTTTTGGTTGTGCAACGGGTACTTCCATTGAAGAATAAGTCCGACACCAGAAGCTGCGTTGGTTGGGACATGTGTTGCGTATACCGAGCCATCATTTGCAGAAGAGACTGCTGTTTTCCATACCCAATTCGGAGTGGCGTAAAGAGAGAGGTGGCCAACCCTTGACTTGCACAAATCATCATCTGGTCGACCTGACCAAACTATCGGTCAACTGACGGCCTACTTCTTAGAAGCCGATGACTACAGCGCCTGGTTTAAACAAACCGTGGATTGCGCCGTGCCACTCTTGGAATCCCATGCTGACAGTTCGCTTGCTAGTTTTGACCTTCTGGCATTTGCCCGAGGGTTGCAGTCTGGCATCATGACACCGGAGCAAGTTCTGTCGCTTCTGGACCTCCGCACCTCCAGGATATTTTCACACACCTGGAAAACTGTATCCCGACGCCGCCGTCAGTTAGCTCATCGGATCCCGGTCAAACGAAAGCAGTCCGCTGTTCTATGCATATTATTACCATCCGACCGGAGCTTGACCGAGCCAATTACAGGAGAGGAAGTCCGCCGTACAATCCGTTTAATGGGCAATTCGTCCCCAGGCCTGGACAGGCTCACTCCCAGGATGCTGTGCCGGTTCAGTGCTTGGTATTTCTACTTAATGTTATTACCTGGGGGTTGTCCTCCACATCTGTGTCGAGCCCGTATCACTCTATTTCCGAAGGTCCCAAATCCGACTTCAGAAGATCAATGAGAAGAAGCAGAAGTATGGTGCTGATGAATATTCCCTAGCCATAATCTCAGCCCTACATGCAATTGGTTATGATGTCGACTTTTTGGTTCACCAACCGACGATCATCTCTTATCGAGGGATCTGCTTTCCTCAATCCGCTAAGGCTGTTATTGGACTGGGACTTTCTAAGGTCACAGTCGGTCACTTGCGTTTGCTACCCATTGTGGGCTCTCTGCGTACTTATGACACTTTTATGTGTGGCACATGGCGTTGAATGTACATTTTTTCCAGACCCAGTATGACAGACACTTTGTGCCTGATGTGCGAGTCTTGACTGTGCTAGCGCCTACCGCGCCTTGAAGAGCATTCAACATTGTTTGTCCTTTTTTCAGTTGTTGGTCTTTAGATGCGTGTTTCCATATCAAAATTTTTTTACATACTTTGGGATTCATCTCATCTGACTGGAACTGTTGTTGTCATGATTTCGAATAAGATGTTTCTCTCTTTTCTTCCATATTCTCCTGTTACCCTTTCGCATTCATCCCTTGCATTCAGTTTTTATGTTTGTGACCATGCTCTTCAAAAATAAATGATAATGAATTTAGGAAATGATATATTGGTTTGTAATTCATCAAACCATTTAAAACTATGTAACCGCACCCTTGAGAACTCATCGCGGGAATCTCGTCAGACAAAGCACTCAACTCAGCACGTATTTGGTTTCAGGCCTCCATGTACCTCGCTCTGCGCTTGTATAAACGCTATCGCTTTAACTGAGCCAACACATAACGAGATAATTTTGAAGTAGTTCACTTATTCATTGATAACTTAGCTATTGCAATAAGAGGCTGTTTACAACTTACCACTCGATCATCGACCCCTACAGTCAAATTGGGCGATCAGCTGATTGGTTGGCACGTGGTAATGAAGCAAGTGACCTTGTGATCGATGCTTGGTTGGCTCAACTTACTTCCAGTTGGAGTAAAGCTGGATAGGTTCTTTCGAACAAGTGGAGATTTTGGCATCACACTATCCCATTCAGAAAACTGCCATATAATGCGACTATAAAAGGACACCGCAATACTTTGCTTCTGGATTAAATTATCAACAGAATGGACAGGCAACTGAATGACGAGGCAATTACTGCTCACAATCAGTGAGTTGGAATTTTTTAGCTAGATGATGAGGGATGGAATTGTGTTTTGAGAAAGTGGGTGACACTTCGAAGAATACTGTGTTATATTTTGAAATCGAAAATGACGTTTTCATGCCGAAGCACATGGTACTTCCCTCAAAAAAGACCTTCTGATGGTTATAATTTATTTTGCTATTCTGTTGGATTCACAAACATGACTTTCTTATCTGAAGATGAGTTTAACTTGAGCATGTATACACTTGCGGTGTCTTAGGATATTCAAAACGAATAGAGGTCTTGGTGAACCTTTGTAAAATCTATACCAGTTGTTGGTTTCAGCACCATTCTCCTATAGTTTCGAAAACTTGACGGTATTTTAGCCACTCGAGTACGTTTATTGGCCAAACGGCTGTTCTTCTGTACCGACTGTACCAACTGAATAGCAGGTGTTTTGTCACCGTCCAAAGGAGGGTTATCATTACGTTTGCTTAAACGGTGACTAATTGTTTGAAAAGACGCTGCTAGACTAGATGAACAGATCAACAGCCTTCAGCTCATCCAGCACACCGCGGCGATCGATGGCAGAGGTCATGGGATCAAGAAACCACTCAGTGCGGAGGGTTACAGTCGGTGGGCATGTGGAATCTGATTTTAGATCGCCGGGGTTAACCCTTAGTGGTGTATAATTATCGGTGGGAAAAAATTCAGTGGCAAAAATAAGGTATATCTAGATTTACTCTCCACATGTCTTGAAAGTCAGCAAAACTATCAAGCCTTGTCGTTTGGTGTTATGTATCTGCGAGAGCGAGCATTCTTATGCAGTGTGAATGCAGGCACTCAAAATCTCAAGCTTCACCTGGAGTTCAACAACTTGTAGTGCAGCTGGAGAGGAAAACGAGATTATGGGAGACCGCTTTGACCAAATGCAAGTCATCATCATTATCATCATCGTCAGCTGTAAGAACCGCGTACTTGTCGTACAGTGGTTGTAGTTGACACAGTTTCGTTCGCCGATGATTTGGGGAGGTTTTCTAGACAGCTGCGCATTCGATGCGGGAGCCGATAAATTGGTGCGTAAATTCAGCACTGTCAGTGAACTGTCAAATGCTGGATGTGGAGAGTGAGTAATGGATTGAAAGCAATCGCTTGGATGCACAAGTGTCATTGAGGACGTGAGTGGGCCATGTCTGACAATGTATCCAACCACTGATGCAGCCCGTCTCGGGATCCCATCCAGGAAGACGGCAATGACTAGCGCAGCTGAGTTTGCTGGTTATGGCTCCTATACTTCGCTGCCAAGTCACTGTTTGACCGCCTCTGGCTCGTCTCCACCCCTCACGTGGTTGTGCGGAAGGAACCCTTTGAGGGGCTCAGCGTCGCATTTATGTATGGAGAACTGGAATTTTATTAGTACGTACAAAGTTTAACTATCACATGAAGAATGGATCAGACGTTTTAAAAGATATACAAGGTGTAGAAAAACTGGCGCAAAAAAATAGACTTCAAAAGTTTAGGAAAATAGATAAAAACTAATGCGGAAATTGAATATTTGGGGAGGACGACATACCAACAGCGGACGACGAAAATTTTCTGTTGAAATCAGCTGTTTCTTTAAATCACCTAAGGTAAAATTACAACCTATGCAGACGTAACGCATTACTTATAAGGTTGTTGATCTATCTTCGACAACACACGATCGGTTTTACCTTCTTGAGGATTATCAGGTAGGCGCAGTCCCTAAGTTTTCATCAGCATCACGTTCCATTTGAACCAAAAGTGGACAGATTTTGCTTAATATGTTTATCTGCATGTCACCTTATTTTTGACTTACCTGTAACCCAAATTGATATGGAAATAAGTGCATTTGTCAAAATCTGTCCAATTTCGGTTCAAGAAAACAAAGGTTTTACCTTTTGAGGATTATCAGGTAGGCGCAGTCCCTAAGTTTTCATCAGCATCACGTTCCATTTGAACCAAAAGTGGACAGATTTTGCTTAATATGTTTATCTGCATGTCACCTTATTTTTGACTTACCTGTAACCCAAATTGATATGGAAATAAGTGCATTTGTCAAAATCTGTCCAATTTCGGTTCAAGAAAACAAAGCTGACGGAACTTCGGAGACTGCGCCTACCGGATGAGCCCTATGAAGAGCGAAACCGGTCTTGAACTGCCGAAGAGTTGTCAGAAACCTCATGAGTAGTGTGTTACATCCATACAATATATCGCGACATCTTAAATATCATAACAAATGAAACATGAGGCGATCTGGTGCAGCTTAGGAAAATAAAAAACGAGAGATATAGCTGGAGTTCAAGTGAATCTGTCATCAAAATCCAAATGAGTGTACTTGTCTAAGATTACAACCTGTTTTTTGTAAATACTTTCTCCTGTGCTGACGCAATTACCTTGCCCATTTTAACCCAAACAAGAAAATAATAAAATTCGAGCTTGCTCGCTTTCAAGCTCATCATTGGGCCAGTGCGGGTTTGCTAATTTGGATGTTTGACACGCGCAGCAAATAAACCTCATAATAATCCACAATCTAACACGAGAGATATCTGAATTTTCTCTCTGAAACAGCATAACGGTTTGCAATTTGTATCGTCTGAACACGATTTTTTAGTTATTCTTTGACCCGTCATTGATGGTTCACATATGGCTAGCAAATGTGTTAGTTGTTACGCTTAAATTAGTTTTTTTTAACTTCCGAAAGTATAACCAGTTGACAATAATGATGCAGTTGAAAGTTTGCTGTAAAGTTGCGTTTAGCACCATCATATTTCAGAGGCCTACTAAATTTAGTATACCTCAGTTCTCTTTTATGTGAACCTTGCAATTGCCTAGTACCCAGTAGACAGTGTACTATTATTTGACATGTAAATTCTTTCCGTTTTTTTCAAATGAAATACAAGCTTAGAATTTTAGTAAGATTGCAAAAGAAGACACCGAATTCGGCTTACCTCGTTAATATGATTCGGCCTCTATAGCCAACTTTCTGCTGTTGGTCGTCCATAGATCTAAATGTACTGTCAAAATAAAGACTGCGGTGGATTATTTGGTTCTAATTTTGCTCGACCTTGCCACCTTTATGTCACGAAGGAATATTGATGGTCATTTGTTTGAGTGAGGTTTTCTCGAATCATAGAAGCAGCGCTGTTTAAGGCTTGATGCCGTTTGCGCTGTTTGGTTGGATTTGAGAAGAATGCTGATGTTGTCCTTTCAGCTGCCCTTGAATCCTCGAAAAGCTCTTCTAGCACAACCATCCAAAGGATGAAAGAGCGCCAGAGGCGGTCAAACAATGATTTGGCAGCGAAGTATAGAAGCCATTACCAGCAAACTCAGCTGCGCTGGTCATTGCCGTCTTCCTGGATGGGGACCCTGAGATGGACCACATCAGTGGTTAGAGACATTGTCAGACATGGCCCAGTCGCGCCCTGAATGGCGCTCATACATCCAAGCTATTACCTTCAATGTATAGCTCCTTCCCAATATCCTCACTGACAGTGCTGGATTTATGCACCAATTTATCATCTCCCGCCTCGAATGCGCAGCTAACTACCCCCCTTAAATCATCGGTGAACGAAAGTGTGGCAGCTACAACCACTGTACGACGAGTACGCGGTTATTACAGCTGAAAATGATGACCTTTGCTTTTAAATCTAAAAAAATTGAGGTGACTTGGGGATTCTAACTTTTTTTATGTCTGAAGTGCAACTAGTTTGAAGGCTTTGAACGGCCATCGGAATAATCTGAATTCCGGATCTTCTTCCTTCCTCGTAAGGAAAAGTCAACATCTAACTAATGTTGATGATGATGCCGAACTATGTCACACTGAGAGGGAGGAAACGTGTGAGTTCATGGAGAAAATAAGCAGACAGTCGATTTTATCGGTCTTATGCAAAAAAATATTTGCTTGTCAATCACTCTGAAGGCAAAAGGAGTAGATTACTATGCTTTATATGCACCTCGTCGGTTCTGGGTTTGGATGTGACTTAGACGTTGTAGCAACAATTTGGGTTTTAAGAACCAATAAATTTATAGGTGTTTTCTTAAAGAGTATTTAAACATCTTAGCTCGATACAAAGTAGAATCGCACTTTTTAATCACAGATAGGTAC